TTGGAATGTCCACACTATAGTCTCAACCCTGACATATTCTGCAGTGCTTTACATATAATATTGCATGTAAAACCAATAAATGTAAGGCATTTGTTTTAATTAATTGAGTGCTGCAATAGTTACAGAAAGAACCGAATAATAGAGCAGTATGGATTTTACAAAATAAAAAAAGTGGGACCTTAGAGTACACCATCGCTCTATGCCAGGGGTAGGCAACTTCTTTCCAGCTGTTGTGGAATTACAAGTCCCATGTGGCTTTGCAAGACTCTTACAGGCATAAGGCATGATGTGATTTTGTAGTTTCACCATCTGGAGAGCTGAGGTTGCCTACTCCAAACTCTGTGGCAAAACTCTAAAAGCTTTGATCTCCTAGTGCCACAAAAGGAAACAGACCAATAATATAATAATGTTCACCGTGTCGTATAATTAATGGATTATTTTAGAAGAACACACTTGCCCTACGTATATTTGGAAACACACATATCACTGCTCAGACATTATAAAATGTGTACAGTACATCCAGCTAGATATAATTAAATTATAATATTTGATTTCTTCCTTGTTGAATTACCCAATTTTTAGACATTTCTGCTTACCAGGATGCATGTATAAGATATTCTCACATACTGTAGCTTTGTACGCCTATATTTTACATAATGTGAATGATCGCTTTTAAAGATATGCTGTTTTTTTCAGTGCCAAATATTTTTTTTAACTTCAGGCTTCTTACGTAGATGAGACCACAGTGATTACCTACTGCTATTTTATAAATATTTTGCTTTAGTTTTTTTAAGTACCCTTTGAGAGCCCAAAATAGTGAATTCTGTGTGGGTGACGTGATGAACAGCTTTTAAATTGCCTAATTATCACAATACATCAACAAATCAGATGATGTGTTCATACAGATGGATTGCACACCAGGAACCCAAAGAAACTCAGGAAAACATGGAAATATTACAAAAATGTGGCAGGACTACTTATAGTAGACAACCTTCCTCATAAATGTTAGAGAGATGCAAGTTCAGGAAATATCCCTTCAATCTATAACACTATTTAAAATGTGCAGAATGGATTGTACATTTTGAGAAAAGTAAGTTGCAATTTTATTGTCAAATCTCTAATCCTGGATCTGGAAATTCTAACTGAATATTACATTTATATTGAATGATTTATATTGAATGATTCTATGCTGTATGGGGGGAGCAGGACAAGGAACTATTGTTTGGTCCCTGTTTGTAGATGGTCCCTGAGATATAAATTAAGACATTGTATTTTGGCTGGTTCCTACTCTTGAATCTGGACTTATTAAACAGTCAAATGCTCTATTCATAAGGGAATCTCTGTATGAGACAGTCTTTGACTCCTGCTGAAGATCAGTAAAGTGTGCAATACCCTCCTTTTCTAGAGAAAATTGTATTCTCTGCTTGTCATTGACGGCTGTGTGCCTCCTTCGCTAGGCAGCATTGGTGGTCTACTATCCACACTATTCCATGCAGGACCCCTCTTTTCTCTCGCTATACTGTGAGGATTTTGGAACAAATACAACTGCCTTCTCTTTTTTCACTAGGAAACATTTATTGTATTCAATAGTCACAGCATTCTGTTACGTGACTGAAGAGTTCCCTTAGACAAAAGTTCATAGATCCTTATGGGACCTATTTATTGGAAGAAAAATCCCCCTTCTCTATGTCTGTGGATTATTCATATACATTTACAATCGGACATGTTGCATTTTAAGTTTCAGACCTCTGTATAATCTGTTGGTATAAATTGGATGATTGAGTTTATGGTATGTCTATCACATTGCACTCTTTTTAAAAGGGATTTCATACTCCTACCTTTTTTGATCACTTTGAAGGCTCCTTCCCTCTCTCCTATTATTTTACTATTGATAGGTCTGAACATTTATGTTTGATGATTGTCAGATTAATTTGTTTTTTTTTGTTTTGTTTTTCTAGCAACTAATTATTACATTGATTTGTATTAATGCAATGTATAAAATAATTTGCTGTCCTTTTAATAAAGCAAATGAACAATGTTAACATTCATTAATTTAATATTTAAATGTGCTCTTATGGTGAGGTTTTCAGAAAACATTCTGTGAAGAGGTTTGGGAGGACTGAATACTTCAACACTAAAAACCTTAGGGGGTTTATCATTGGGGAGGTAGTTGATATACCACGGAGAAGTTTAGATTGAGGTTTTCCAAAAGTGGACAGTTTTACTAAAACTAAGCCTACTACTGCCTCTCATACGTTCCTACCTACCTACCTGTTTCTATCTACTCCTACTGCTGCCTCCCATAGGTTTAGCTTTTCCTAAACCCAAATTTAATCATGTAAAGCCAACAGTAATCTATTTTCCATTTGAAAATTCCTGATCAAAATCAAATAAGAGAAAAATTAAATGCTGTAGAACTGGGGGCTGGCAAATTTTTCTACATTAAGTGACAATTTACAGGCAGACAACTGGCGTACCAGTGAGCAACAGTGTGCTGTAGCCATATACACTATATTGCCAAAGGTATTGAGACACCCCTCCAAACCATTGGATTCAGGTGTTCCAATCACCTCCATGACCACAGGTGTATAAAATCAAGCACCTAGGCATGCAGACTGCTTCTACAAACATCTGTGAAAGGATGGGTAGCTCTCAGGAGCTCAGTTAATTCAAGCGTGGTACCGCGATAGGACTCCAACTGTCTGCAGAGTCAATAGCTACAGACTTTCAAACTTCGTGTGACCTTCAGATTGGCACAAAAACAGTGTGTAGAGAGCTTCAAGGAATGGGTTTCCATGGCCGAGCAGCTGCATCCAAGCCTTACATCACCAAGTGCAATGCAAAGCGTCGGATGCAGTGGTGAAAAGCACACCGCCACTGGACTCTAGAGAAGTGGAGCCGTGTTCTCTGGAGTGTCGAATCACGCTTCTCTGTCTGGCAATCCGATGGACGTGTCTGGGTTTGGTGGTTGCCAGGAGAACAGTACTTGCCTGACTGCATTGTTTAATGGAGAGGGGATTATGGTTTGGTGTTGTTTCTCAGGGGTTGGGCTTGGCCCCTTAGTTTCAGTGAAGGGATCTCTTAAGGCATCAGCATACCAAGACATTTTGGATAATTTCATGCTCCCAACTTTGTGGGAACAGTTTGGGGATGGCCCCTTTGCGCACCAGTGCACAAAGCAAGGTCCATAAAGACATGGATGAGCGAGTTTGGGGTAGAGGAACTTGACTGGCTTGCACAGAGTCCTGACCTCAACCTGAAACACCTTTAGGATGAATTGGAGCGGAGACTGCAAGCCAGGCCTTCTCATCCAACATCAGTACCTGACCTCACAAATGCGCTTCTGGAAGAATGGTCAAACATTTGCATAGACACTCCTAAATCTTGTGGACGCCTTCCCAAAAGAGTTGAAGCTGTTATAGCTGCAAAGGGTGGGCCAACTTAATATTGAACCCTACAGATTAAGACTGGGATGCCATTAAAGTCCATATGCATGTAAAGGCGGGCGTCCCAATACATTTGGCAATATACTGTAGTTTTATTTTACAGTTTTACTGCTAATGGTAAATTAATCTCGTGAATTATTATATTACCAGGGGAGCACACAAAACAGGTTCCTATTTATAGTTAATGTGTGCTTAACAGTAAACTACGGTTTCAGTGAGGTCCCTGTCCCTGTTATTCAAGACTTATTTGTTTTTGTATTTAACGAACTTTACTACAGTTATGTTTAATGAGAAATATCAAATCATTTTGTAGACATAGACTATTGTACTTCTGGGTGCCACTGACATTGGTTATGTGTTCCCACAGTGACACACATACCTTAGGTTGCTGAACCCTGCTGTAAAATATTTATTATTTTTAGGAATGCACCGATACCAGTTCAGATACCAGTGCCGATACTTGGCATTTTCATGAGAACTACCAGGGTTGCAGAGTTTGCAGCTGGGACCTGGCTCTGGCACTCCACCACTGTCCTGAAATCATTAGTTGATATTGTTTTAGAAAAACTGTCACATGACAATAAACAAAAATGTATCAGTACTTGTATCTGTGAGGACTTGGACAAGTATTAGTACTTGTACTTGCAAAAATGGTATCTGTGCATCCCTATATATAGGTTTATAAAAACAAAATCATACATTAAAACAGAGATGTACAAATCCCAGGAGCTCTGTGAGCTCCTTACAAATGACAGCGGCCTCCTAACTTTTGCATTTTTCTCTAGCTTTGGTGTTCGAAAAGTATCTGTACTTGTACCGAATACGGTGCTTGGTATCGGTGCATCCCTAATTATTTTAATAGTGCATTATAGTTCTTCATTGTGGAAATCTACTTTAGGGTTAAGCTCTCATTTTGCTCTAACATAACAAAGAAATACTCATCTGAACCTTGGACCCGGCTGGCTACTAGACTGGTCCCTGCAGCCTCTCTCCCTCTTTGCTCTGGCGGTCTAAGAACCCATGAGTCATCATGTCCAATACAGTGTTCTGGACATGAGGACACAAAGGGACATTCCATTGCTGGAGTGGAGTGGTCTAGCAGTCAGTCGGGTCTGAGATTTGGGTGAGTATTTGTTATTTTAGACCCTAGATGAAAACGAGCAGTTAACCCTTGCAGTACGGGGGTAGCTCCACAGCAAGGGTTAAGTCTTCTTCTGCCCAGAGTTCTTAAGGTTTTTTAAACATATAAAATATCACAAAATCAAACAACATGACTGTAATAGCTCTCTATTCCCATATAGTATAACATATTACTCCTAAACTAAAATATTTTTTCTTTTCATTTCAGGTAATTCAACATTTTTGGATGATCATGGCCCTACCACCCCAAAGGTAATAGTACCAATCTATGAAGTCTGGTCTATTGCAGACCTCAAAACCTTGCCTGTGATAAATTGTGTCCCTTATTTTAGTGGCTTACATTTTGGCTAGGGCCCTAATCTGGCCATGCACTGCTTGAATTTTGCCCCTGTCAGCATCACTCTGTTCAACACAAGCAGATTTGTAAATTCACTTTTGTCGAAGAAGCTGAGCTGAAAATGTACTGCTAAACAGTGACTGTAGCCAATCGGCTTCAGTCACTGTTTGGATATTCTGACAACTGTGGGTGTCGGGGCTGACAGGTGACCATGTGTAAAGGAGTGTTTTCTTTCGTTTTTCTTTTTATTCTATCAATTCTTATCTGCTTGGTTAAAACGCCTGTATTTTGGGGAACATAGCAAACTCATAATGCTTGTAAATTCTGTGCCATGTGTGCATCCTGTTTAAAACATTTATCTGTAAAATAAACATTTTATACATAAAGTAAATGTATATAAAAAAATCAGTTTAAAAAGGTATAAGCTTAAAAAGCAGGAATGACTTAAAACCATTTTAGTTTTACTTTTTTCACAAAGGAAATCAAAGATGGTGAAGGATAACAGACTGCCAATCAAGATTCTTATCTACAATACAATACAATACAATACAAATACAGTACAATAGTAATAGCTTTGTTCACTGACAAGGGCCATTCATGAATTATGATTGCCAGAATGCCTACATTGTTAAATGTTCTGCAGAACTGGCCAATCTAAATACAAATATTCGGAAGAATCAAAAAGCACTGAAATGATAATGCTTTCATTTTCTTAAGTACAGGTTAAGGTGGCATCTCATAGGATGTGACACTAATCTGTTCTAATGCAAAAAATTAATGCTGAGTCTTTCTTTAATAAGCTTTTAACACAGGTCATGTTCTCACATTCTTAGCCATTTTTTAAAATGCATATTATATTATGTATGTGAAGGTTCTCACTCATCCACGTCATGCTATACTGTATCTGTAAAAAAAAAAATAAGTCAAGGCAACTGGACTAGCTGTATTTTTCTTGAAGATGTTTCACTGGTCATCCAACCAGCTTTCTCAATTCAGAATGACTTGTATTTTTATAATGACTTGTATTCACCACCCTGTATTGTAAGCTGCCTGCCATTCTTCTGATGGGGTTTACAATTCTGGTTCATGCTGTAGTACATAGTCATTTATCAGTACACTTTCTGCAGAGAGAGCTTGTTGAATGCCTAAGTAATGCATGTTATTGAATATTGACAGTTTACCGATATAACTGTTGTATAATTAATGTTTTAATTCCATAACCCTTTATGTAACAGTGGAGGTGGCAAATATTCCAATGCTGTATGAATAGTAATGGACTATATATCTGAGGGTTTATTTATCTAGGTCATGGTAACGAATATTCGTTAGCCACATGCGACTGAATTTGTTTAGAAATCTTGAAGACATTGCACCACTTATCCAAATGGTCACCTTAGTTCAGATGAGTGCCAGGAACATACTCAGCCATTTATACCCACATAGTCAACTGATCACCTCAATCCAATCACCTAAGGGTCATAAAATTGTGTCAAGGCAATTGCTGATTGTCCATGAACATGGCCATGAACGGTTGTAAAAACACTCTGGGGGGAATTCATCAAAACTGGAGCAGACAGCATCTGGAGCAGCTGCCCATCCCAACCAAGCCGCTTCTATCTTTAGTTTTTTTTCCGTTAAGCTTTGAAAATGAAAGAGAAAAGCTGATTGTATGCTACGAACAACTGCTCTAGATTGTGCCTGCTCCAGTTTTGATAAATTCCTCTCTGTTCTCATTAACATAATTCAATCACCATTGTGCAAGAAAAGTCTGTGACATGTGTTATCTGTTTTTGTTCTATGGCCGAAGGTGTGATTTTTTTTTTTGGTTACATTGTTGGGGTAAAGATAATAAAGTAGCATTATATGTGCCCACCAGGTTTGGATTAATGCTGACATTCCTATGAGTATCTTAAAGATGAACTCCAGGATAAACAAATATAATCTATATATAAGAGCCATGTATATTTATATTTACATTTTGCTTTCCTTTGTGCATATCTTGCAGATCTGTGCAGTAATCCAGTGTTAAATGTTGCCTGTCCAAGTGTGTTCTGAAACAAAGACCAATCATGACCAATCACTACCGCTCTCTCTCCTTGGTTTTAGATGAGCCCCTAGTACTAGTAGATTTTTTTTTTGCAGGCAGTCTATAATGGCTGGACTTGCTGGGCCCCTCCAGCAAGTCTGCTCTTTGCACAGCTATGTGCAGCTCAGTAATGTTATTACCATTACCTCTACATGGCAGTATCTGGGTTAGTAAAGGACTTCGGTGCACACAAAACTATGTAACTATTGAGGAATATAGATAAAAGTCGGTGTGCCTTAATGGCCTGTATTTGTTCCTCTGGCTGTATAAAGCTGAAGTGCCTGCACATACTGCACATCTCAAAGTCTGTGGAATCCTTGAAGCATAGGTGCTCTAATATGCAATTACTGACATGGAGCAGACTAGGGCCTGTGCACTCTCGCCTTCCTTTCCTGTGCTATATTGTTTCTGAAATGTGATAGGCAGATTCAGTAACCAATAGCAAGAGAGAAGGGAGGGGGGAGGGCCAATTGTGAACCTTCCTGCTTTAGATTGCCTTGGTGCTCTCCTTCAGACTTTGAGATCTTATTTAGGGCTGGTTCATGCACATGTTGAACATGAGGTATTGCACTTTTTACATAAGTTACGTTAAAAAGCCCATTTATTTTGAATGGGCCACAATGCCCTCCTTACCATCTTGTCTTGAATTGTATTGTGATTGTAATGTCTTCCTTATATTGTAAAGCGCAACCAAACTGTTGGCGCTATATAAATCCTGTATAATAATAATAATGCACCTAAAATGCAACATTTTTATAACGCAACACACAGATTGTTCAAATCTGGGCACTGTGGTGCATTACAATGCATGTGTGCAGTGCATTGTGTTGTGTTGGTGGGTTGGGATACCATTCAGAATGAATGGCACCACACTGCCATACATGTGTTGCCAGTAACATGCGGTAAAAAGCATGTTTAACAGTGCGTTACCGTGATGCACTAATATGAACTGGCTATTATACTTGCATCTTTACAGATTTTATCTTATTGAAAAGGTTTCAAATGAATGATGAGAGTTAATTTAACATGGCCACGTAAGCCTACTAAAGCTAGATATTATTTTTATTTATTTTCCTGAATATAGGCAGCTTTAGATGGTGGGATTTGATTGTAATATGTTATAATCAGTTGTGCTTAGCAAGCCAATAATAGACATCTTGCAATAAAGCACCACACATTTTATTTCAAAGGAAAAACATTAACCAGTTGACATCCGCGGTGTTAAACCCCCTTCCCATCCAGGCCATTTTTCAGTATTCAGCGCTGCGGTACTTTGACTGACATTTATTCCGTCATGCAGCGCTGTACTGAAATGAATTTTATACCCTTTTTTGGGGACAGTTAGAGCTTTCTTTTGGTGGTATTTATTCACCACTGGGGGTTTTATTTTTTTACTATATTAAGGAAAAATTACCGAAATTTAAAAAAAAAAACAGTTTCCCCTATATTAAATGATAAAACATTTATTATTACCCAATTTTTTGGTAAAATATAAAAGATGGGGTCACGTCGGGTAAAAAGACACTAAACATGTCAAGCCTTAAAATTGCGTGCACGCGCGAAACCTCAAAAAACGATAATACCCAAAATTGGCCCTAGGCGACGCTTTAAAAGCTGTTACCGCTCATCAGTTTAGAGTTATCAGTGATTGATGGCCCTAAAATGATTGCTCTCACTGCGACGTTCGCGGCGATATGTAACATGTGTAGCGCAATTGTAATTTTTGCGCGCTGGGGCACCGGACGCGTATTTACGTTTATAGGCGCGTAAACGTGGGGGTGGGGGAGTTAAACATTTTGGGGGGGGTTTTTCCCCTTTTTTTATATGTGACTTTTATTTTATTTTACTTTTTTATGTGTTACTTTTATTTTTTTTTATTTATATTTATTTTTTTTGCACTTATTGGTATTGCTATTATATAGGGGGATAACAACCCTGGGGGGGGGGGTGCCGCGAACGAGCACATATAGGCGATCGGCGGGCTATGGACCCGCCGATCGCCTATATGTGAAACACCCGGTAACGGGTGTGTGCATTTAGCGGGTCTTTTCTGCCCGTGCGTGCCCGCTAGGGGGCGCGCGCGAGCAGAAAAAAATTGCCGTCTGGAGACGGCAACCCGCAGATGCTGCAGTGCCGTCCGTCCGTTTTTTTACTACGGGCGGACGGCAAGAGGTTAATATAGTCTTGTGACCATACACAAAGTAATATCAAGCCAAATGTATGATATATCCTACTCATTGCCTAAAATAAGACAGTGTTACAAAGCTCCACCACTTTGTTACTTTCAAAAAATACTACAATCCTTTGTGAATTTGCATGGGATGGGTTTATATATAGTCCTAACATCAGTGAGTTATATAACTGCATTGTAATAATAATAACGTCATGTCCTATTTGTGCGTGTTCATGTGACCCATGACAACCAAAAACATGCAGATAGGTTAATTGGCTTTCACCTAGATTGGACCTACTATTCTGCATTTATGGTTGATAGATATCAGCCTAAAAGCTCTTTTGTGGGCAGAAGTTATTGTGAATGCTTGAATGATCTGTACTAGTATGCTAAATAAAATGTCAGTGAAAATAAATGAATAAAATAATTACATAAAATCAATAAACTACTGTTTTCTTCTAAATGTAGCAACAGAGATGCTAGCTGTGCTATTTATTCTAGCTATGCTAGCTGTATTAAGATCACTTGGGCATCTCATATGCATGGTTGAGTCATGCAAGGCTTCATGTAGGCTGTATGCCTCTTGACTGGCTTGGGTACATTTGTCCCCCAGAAAGAACTTCAGGCATTGGAAATTATATTACCACACTGCCTAC